AAAAAAAAAAGAAAAAAAAAAAAAAAAAAAAAAAAAAAGAAGAAAGAGAGTAAATAAATGAGGAAAACTTCAACAGAAGCAGAAGCAGAAGCAGAATTGTGAAGGAAGCTTAATTTCACAAGTCTAATAAAGAAAACAAAATGTCCCAAAATTCATATCCAGCAACTGACAGAAGCTTATTCTCCCAAGGTATCGATAGAAACAAATGAATAATGCAAAAAAAAAAAAAAAAAGGTAAATAAATGGGGAAAACTTCAACAGAAGCAGAAGCAGAATTGTGAAGGAAGCTTAATTTCACAAGTCTAATAAAGAAAACAAAATGTCCCAAAATTCATATCAGCTACAGAACCTTGCTTACAGAAGTATGAAAAATACAAAAACGCTTTATACTAACCAAGGAATGACCAGCACATGGGACTACTGTTACTGGAGATGGTGAGTCAGACCCAGCTTTGACCTCAATTCTTGACCAGCTCCAAGTTCTAAAATCTAGTACCTATATTATCGTTTGTCAAATTAGCGACATAACAAATTATCCTAACAAAATGCAAAAGCGCCAATTATAAGAGGGCACATAAAGAGCTTATATTTCGTATAGAGCCAATATCTAAAGGCCCTCTATCAAAAGGAAAAAGGGAAAAAAAAATAAAAGAAAGAAGGAAAAAATGGACATTTACATGGTAAGGTTTGACAAAAATAGATGCACGTTCCATATATTAGACTACACAAGATGATGCGTGTCCGTGTATGTATGCATGTACAAATATTTGCTTACAGGTAGATCATTAAGGTAACGACCATTGTGGTTTCCACCATATATATACATCTTGTCTTGTACAATTGCCGCTCCGTGCTGAAAAATGAAAACCATTTGTTCAAAAACAAGACGAAGATTTAGAAGGTCAAATATTAAAGAGTAACATTCCTTTGCCCATACCTCATATCGTGCCTTTGGACGTTGACCAGATATAGGAGGTAATATCCATTGATCATAGACGGCAATAGTATCAAGTCCTTCTGAAATGGCATCTTTTTCTAAAGATTCATCTGGATTCCCATTTTCAGCTGAAAAAGTCTTTGTCTCAGGATAAGAGCTCCCATTCTCAACAACCGGCTCAGGTTTTGAATTATGCTACAACCACACCACACCACACCACACCACAATTACATAACCAATATTATGCTATTGTTTAGCCTCACAAGGTATCTTAAGAAAACAAACGAAAGATGCTCAAATATCAATTAAGGAAAGTAGCAATAGAAGAAGAAATAGAATCAGAAACAAAAGCTAACTTCCAGAAGTAGAGACCATGCATAAATCTTCCTAAGAAGTTTCCACAAACCAATCATTGAATCCGCATACTTAAATACCTGACTATTCTAAGTCATATGAGTTGACATGGTAGCAGCATGTAAGAGTTCTATGAGTACTTTGTCCTTTTTTTAACATTACAATACCTATTTTCTGAAGAGATTAAGAGAGAAACAACAATATTAATTGATAATAAAGCAATGCTCACGTTCATCTGTGCATCATTTACAGGTTCTGCAATGAAATTTGATGCTCTTGAATACCAACCAGGATCTTCCTCCTATATGCACAAAAAAAAAGAAAAAAAAAAAGAAAACAATAAAATCAGCAGAAGGTTTATCACATGGGACAATGTGAGAGAAATGTGGAACTAAGCAAACTTCTCCTTGTCAACCTCCAATAATTTTACAAAAAGACGCATTGCTTCTGCAGAAACCATTTCCCCAAGCTGCTTCCAGCTGCAAAGAGCATATAGAACCCCTTCAGAAAAGAAAACTCAATAGAGTAGTACAAGATAATTAATGATGCAAATATCGCTTGCATGTGCAACCAATATTTAAAAGAATCTAGTCTTTAACCAGAATGAAAGACACAAACACAATATCTTTCCATTCATTAAAATGAATCATGTTAATAAAAATTCATATCCCCGTAAATCTACTTTTGGTCGATGAAGCCAAAGCAGCAAAGTAGTGGTAAACCAAACATTGCCAAAGAATCAGGAGCAGTTTTCATTCACTCACTAAACAACACCCAACCTGAGTAGTCAGTTTTGTTTACGACTCACCTTTCTCCAAATTTCATGAAAATCCTCACTGAATATCTATGAAGAAGCAGGCGTCAATTTAATTGATTTCCTAGACAATTAATTTACAACGTATGAAATAACACTTACACATTGATACGTCATTTTAATCTAACGCACTTCATTTCCATCTATCACTATGAACGTCTCATCACGCAATCTTCACTTTCATCCGCACCTTGTTTCCAATTCATGTATACCATAATCTCAAACTTCTAACTTTCATTTACCATTTTGATGGATCACGAAAACCCCTATTACGCTCAACCCCATACAGAGCAAAATGCCACTTTTAAAAGGATACAGATCAAAACATTAAGAGAAGCATTCGCCTATCTAATCCACACATGATTCTTGAATACATGAGAGAGAGAGAGAGAGAGGATTGTTAAGCACACGAACCTGCTCCATTTGCTCCTTTCAATGGCATTCCATGCACTAGGTTCTGGAACGTTACAGGGTCCTACAGTGGCCTGCAATGTGAAAAGTCGAAAGTTAAAGATACTACCACCATTTTATTTGGAAAGTAGTTTTTATATCAAACCAAGTATCACCAACTAACTTTATGGTGCAAAACCAAAGGGCTCAAATTTCAACCTTAGTAATGACCATATGGTAACCATATAAAAAACGCTTGTAAATAGATAAACTACTGATGTGAAGTTGTATCTATATCATCACCAAAACCATTTACTTTCCTCCGCATTTTCCCAGGAACCAAACAGAATCACGGATCAAAACCCAAAATACACCGAACTGAATCGCAAAATCCCAGATCTACCTGAACTACACCCAAAATTACAAAAGCAACAAGCATAAACACACCAAATTAACGCACATCAAGCACACCGAGCCAACAACGAGAAAAGATCTCATCCCATCACAAACGGAAAACGCACAATTCGATCTCGCCATTGCACGAAACGACAGAAGAAGCTAGAGAATGCGAGAAAATCAACCACGGCATTCGCATAAAATCACTTTTTCTTCCTTTTTGTGCAGCACTGGAGGGGTTGAATGAAGAACCATGAATCACATAAATTTGACATTGAGATTAAGATCGAGATCCGAGAGGCGTGATTGAGAAAGAAAAGGGATTGAATTGGAGACGAACCTGTTGATGCAAAGCGTAGAGGAGAAGAGCGAAAAAAAGGCTTGAACTTCGAGCGGACGGCCTTGGCGGAGGAGCGAGGAGATCCGTCGAATCCGACGTACGACGCCGCCGCGTAGAAGCGCTCCGGGTATTGCAGGCCAGAGCTCATGCGAGCCATCGCCATGGATTTCTCCTTCTTCTTCTTCTTCTTCTCTGGCTTGCCTTGCGTGCAGAGAAAAGAGAGATCGAACAAATAGCAATGCGGTGTTTGGACTGCAAGAAACGTATTATTTTCTGGGGATTCAATTTGGGGAATTTTTTATTTTATTTTTGTTTTAAGTTATTATAACAGTATTAGTCCAGTGAACATAATGACTCTTATTTCTGAATTTTAATTTTGACATATTAAATTAATTGAAATATTATTTAATTGAATTTTAATTGAAATATTAACATTTAATAAGGGAATTCATACCATTATTTGAATCATGGTTCATAATTTACTACAGTATTTTCTCTCATAAAAAATACACGTAAATAAAAAATAATTCTAAGCTCGTGATTCTAATCCATGAACCAAACGATGTTTAATAGCTTTAATCTTGACATTAAAATTGATCAATAAAATGATTTAACAAAAATAAATGCATCTTACCGCCTTATAACTTACAATTTTATGGAAAAAAATGTTAACAAAAATAGATGCATCTATCGCGTCATAACTTACAATTTTATAGAAAAAGTTATATTATAGTCAAAATGTTCCGTTCATTAAAAACTATAAATTTTACATTTAGAGTAAATATTTATGTAAAATTTTTAGGTATTATACAATATGAATGTGATCAGTTTATATGTCAGTTTGGTATTATTATGTTGTTACAAATTTTTGCTGTTGTTAGTCGTTAATAATAAGTTATTGTGACCAGGTGGTGATTTGAATTGCAATTCAAATTAGTGTTTGGATACATAAATAAATTGTAATTTGAATTATAAATAAAATCTAAACTATATTTGAATAAAGTGTTGAAAACTATCATTAGAGTTTTATAACAAATCTTATAAAATCTCATTACAAATAACATTAGAAAATATGCAATATGGATGATAATTTATTCCTCTATTTATTATGAACACATTGAAAAAAAAAACCATCTCAATTGGAATTAAAACAAACCAAATTATAACATTTTTAAGTTTAAAATTGAAAAGAGAAAAAAAAAATAGAATCTGAATTATTTTCACTGTAAAAAAATAATTTGAATTGTATGAATTTAGGGAAGGTAAATTTTAAAATTAAGAGTTTAAATTATTAATAGTTTGAATTGTTTACATAAGAAGGGATAATAACCTTGGAAAAAGTTTTGTAGTTCACCTTGCTTGCTTGCTAGTTCGTTTATCGATATTTTTTTAATTTTATATTTTCACACGTTTATTATTAACATATTTTATTTTTTAATTTGCCTTTTAACATATTTTTTCTAAAATATATCCCTACTAACATATATTTTCATGTAGTCTTTTAAGATATTATTTTTTCAAATAACACCCTAATAAATATTATTTTAATTGATTGCCCTGTTTAAATAATTTTTCTTAAATTTGTCTTTTTTTGGGTATATTTTGAATGGTTTGTACTTCACCTTCGTTGATTGGTTCTTTTTTTTTCTTTGCAATTTTCTATTTTTTAATGTTTCTTCAATTGTATGATTTTTTTTTTTCAAAATCTTATGATTTTTTTAAAGTGTTGATATAAAATATTGTAGATTCTACTCATATTGTATTCATTAAGCAAGTTAAAAGTTTAGTCAGTAACAAAAATAAAGTAAAACCTAAAGCACACATGTGCCTACGACACTTTCCCATGCAAGTCTGACAAGGGCTTAGTTTAGTATTACTTTTCACTCTTAAAATCAGCCTCTGCTTATAACAAAAAATGATTTTAGTGTTTAATAAATCTCTTTAAAAGTGCTTTTTGAAGAATTTACAGTCAAAATGAGAAGCAGCCCAAAAGCAACTTTAGGTTTTAAATTGTGTGAGAATCAACATAGTACAATTAATAAAACTTTCATAATACCTATAATACTCTTAATGAAATTAAAATTTACAATCTTTCCAATCTAAAATTCATACTCGTAATATAATATAATATAATATAATAATAATATTGTAACAAATAATATCATAATTATATTAATAACTCTAATATTGTTATTTTATTATATAATATGATATTATAATTATTTTAATAATATGATATTATAATTATAATATGATATTGTAATTATTATTTTATAACATATTATATATTATATTGTATTGATATAATTAAACTTATTATATTAATAATATTACAATAATATTATTACATTATATTATATTGATATAATTATATTTATTATAATATGATAATATAATTATAGGCAAGGTCTGAAATTGGTAACTGAAGAAGACTTTTTCCTTTTTGTGTTTGCCTTTTGGCCTATATTAGAGTCTAGCATTAATTAATTACCATTAATTTCTTGCCAACAGTAGTGTTACTAAGTGGTGTATATGTTAGAAATCACCAAAACTTATTATAGCAACATACTTTTAATTCTGTAGTCGTAATTTCTGTTTGTCATATTTATGGGTAATCTATTTGTATGATTGTATAGCATCACTAGATCTATAGTAATAAACTATTTTAATTATTCTGTTGTTTACCTCTGCATGTTCATTATTTAGGGACTTGATGTGTACAATTTGATTTTAACTACTAGTTATGAATTTGCTTATACATTGTTTGTCAAACTAATTAATTGATTTCCATTTTTTAATCAAAACTTTTCAGGCCACCTCCAAGATCAAGATGATCCAGAATTTCACTCCACCCGACTACCCCTCTCACTACCTAACCAAGTACAAATTGGATATTACCATTGTCATGTGTATATTTGACCACTACCATTGTTGGCTTAGCTATCTAGGAGGACAGTACTTTGCTACAGTCATATTAGAAGATTCCTACTTGAATATAGCTTTACATGTTTCATACGCCTCTCTCTCTCTCATATATATTTTAATCCTCATTCATTGTGATGATATGTCGAACATAATTGCCTAACTGATAAACAATGTTAATTAACGTTGTACAAGAAGAAATTAATGGAAGGAAGGGACAGAACAAACAAACATCTAGATGTTAGGATTGTAACACCCACCTAGTCTAACCTTAAAATTACCAAGTTATGCTAGGTGTTGTTACTCTTTGAAGACTTGTTTTTAACTTTAGCTTGAGATTTCTTTAGATTGGTAACATTAAAATGTGGGACAAATTTGAACTTTTTAAGACTTTCTTTGCGCAATGGTACAAAAACATGATTTTAGTATTTCTTTTGACTGATGTCCCATATATACAGTATAATACATATCCCAAAAATAGATCCGACAATTCTTACAAACAAAAATAAGAGCACAGTAAATAGTTAGTAACTCATTGCCTCAAATAGGCCAGCATCGTCCATATGCAAAAGTCCGGATACTAAGGATGACGCCAGCCAACCACCAAAACAATGTACATGTAATGCCAGGATGTGTCTTCATTTGCATCACCATAAATAAGTGAGCTAAACCCCAGTAAGTAAAATAAATGCATGAATAAGTAATTTGAACATATAACATCACATCTTAACTTCAGCATTTCCTATCATTCCATTTCCATTTCGTATAACATTAATAATTCACTTTGTTACCTTTTAATTTCATCACTTGTATGCACAATTGTCGTGGCTATATCATTTTCTTTCTTCTTTTAGACATTGTGGCCATTATTAATAGCATCATGTGTCTCCTAGAGACTTAGTGGTCCCATACCTTATGGCCTTCACAATGATTATCATATGTCTCCCAGAGACTAAGTGGTCCCAGACCTTGTGGCCAAATAAATATCATATGTCTCCAAAAGACTTAGTGGTCTCAGACCTTGTGGCTAAGTAAATATCATATGTCTCTCAGAGACTTAGTGGTCCTTACTATTCCCATCAGGATTGTTCTAGCCTCTTTACTAATCACTACGAATTATCACTCCTTTTATTACTTTGTCGAATGTTTATCAACTCATTCCTTATATATCATTTTCTTGTATTTTGTACCATGTGCATACTTTATGCATTATACATATACATCACATAATCAAGTATCACAAATGTACTTTGCACAATTATTATGATGATACGGGTGATATTCTACTTACCTCGCACCGTATGACAGAAAGTATGACTTCGGGGTTCCTCTTTGTGGATCCGATGTGAACAACTGTAATGTTGGGTATTTAAATGTATTATCATTAGTTTTGTGATTAATGAATTCGTTCCTTTCCTTCTAAAATAACTCAAACTATAGCCTAAAATGGTTCAACAACTTACACTTTTCATTTAACGCCTCTAAAAACACCATTTTTCCAAATTTTCCATAACTTAAAGATTTTACTTTAAAAAAAATATTCCATTAAAAAGAGTCATTTGGCTGAAAATAGCAAAATTCGGTAAGATATGTTAAAAATGTCAAATTCAAACTTAGAACAGCTTAAAATGACTAAAAATCAGAAAAACAGGTCAAATATCCAATTTTGGCGCATACTTGGCTCAACCGTGCGAGCATGTGGGCACCAAGACACCAACCGTGCGCACACAACACGCACAGGGCTGCACAGTGTGCATAGGGTGCGCAGGGCTGCCAGTGCCCCATGCTGCGTTCACAGGGCTTGCTGCAGCATGTTGGGCGCCCACAACATGTAGCATTGTGCACCCAGCCACCCCAAAACGGCCCAAATGGCCTCTAAACCCCTCCAAACCATTTTTAAAAATTTTGCCAGAGTTTCTCCTACATTTTAATACTCCCCAAAGCTTAATATCACAAAATAACCCTAAATTAGAAAATTATCACAAAATTACCAAAATTCTCAGGAACTAGCCCTAATTTTAAAACCATAACTCCCAAACCACAAAGACATTTCCAAAACGGTTTTGGGAGCATTTAGTCAACATATAAAGTGAGTTATCCTCAAACTTTCAACTTCATTTGAGCTTCGTAGGCTAGGTAAATAAATAAAAACCTGAAGCATAATGAAAACTGACCTGAATCTGGACAGCTCCAAGAAAACAAGCTTTAAACCACCATCTTCCAATTAAGTTAGCTCCAATATTTTTTATAGGCTTCAATCTAACATATTAAAGATCTCATATCTCAAAAATCATGACCTAACTATAAATAAAACCTTCTGAATCATCATCAAAACAAAACCAAACCAAAATTGTCCCTTACCTTGATCTAGTTTAGGTTTTCTTGTGAGTCTCCCACTTCCAATTCAAATGATTAGCTCCTAAACATCTTATAAACTCTTGGAGCAGACCCTAAAACAATTCCAAAGGATTAGAGCACGGATTTATCACCAATCTTGAGAGAAACTAAACTAGAATCATAAAATTCACCTTATCTTACATTAGTTTCAATCTCTTGGTGTTCCTATGAGTAATCCTTCATCAAACCACTTAGAATTGCTTTGGTTTTCTTAAGAAATGGCTGGAGAAGCACTTTGGAACCAGATGAGGGTTGGACTAGAAGGTTTTGGGGCTGATTCCCCTTCACCTCCTTGATTAACATTTTAAAGAGACAAGTAGGCACCTTAATTACTTAACCATGAAGTACTCTCCTCTCCTTTAATCTAATATCACCTTAAGCAGCTCTCTCACCGCCTTCTCTTGTACACAACACTCACACAAATTTCCAAAGTATGAACAAGGTCTTAGCCAATCATTTGGCCTACTAAATTTGGTGCATGAGCTTGCACCAAAATTTCAGTACGTGACAAATCCTAACTTTACATCTCTCATACTTTTCATTCAATTTTAAACATCTAACATAATCACTTTCTATTTCATTCTTACCCTAATTATTAGGATCCATAATTCCTTTAGAACCTTAATAAAATCTCAATTTGATTCCACAAACTCGAATACCAAAATATGCTTAATTTAGGGCTTCTAAAGTAACACGATCCTTAAACCCTTATCATCATCCATTTCTTAACCTTATTTCAACCTTAGAATCACCTTAAGTAGTCTCTTTGGCACATTAACTCAAGTCTAAACCTTTTCACACATCACACCAACATGTACATTTTCATTAAACTTCCCTTAAAGCCCCATTAGGACTCCATATTTTACTTTTCACTTAGTAATTCTTGTAAATATCATTAAGAACAAGTTGTTGTCCATTTCCCAACTTACTAGATCCTTCTCTTGGGCTACCACGAGTCATTCGCCTATATAATGAACATATCAAACATATAATTCACTTCAAATTACATAGTATACCATTATGACAAATAACTGTATATAAAACGACTAAGTGTTCATGTATCATATGCATGATGCTAAAATATCATAAAATGCATTGGCCAACGAGTATGTGAGAATTCTGGGTATGACAATGATAGTTAAGCCTCACTCTTAAAATAACGGCATTAATTTGATCGGTAATTATGATATTTAACCTTCTAACTCTCTTACGACCACAAGAATAAGGAAGTCATTTGAAATTGTAAATATATAGTTTTAACGGTAAATTCGCACATTTATAAGTTGTGTCTGTGTGTGTATATATAGAATAATTATTTTGTGGTGGTGTAGAACTTCTTTACCGGTAGAACTTACTTACTGATAAGACTAATTTCTTACCATTATATATGATTTAAAATAATGTTATGAACACTAATTTCAATTAAAATTTTTGTGTACTAAATAATATGACATGTGAATCACCATTTTTTTTAATTAATAGATGCAATCTCTTATATTATTTTACGTATTATTTTACTCTATTATTCCCGTTCTCTATAACTACAAATTTTGCTTGGGCCCTTCACAGTCGGCTCCCCTGCTCCAGCCCGTCCAATTCGACTCTAATCTTTAAACCAAGCTGACCCAAATGCTCTCTTTTTAAAAAAATTTAAAAAACGCATTATAAAATTCTGAGCCGGGCCGAATCGGACTTAGGCACGTTGAGCTTTAGAGCCGAATTTACAGCTTATTGGCGTTTACACCCAATCTGTGTTTCTTTCATGTGCGAACTAGTTCATTCTTTGTGAGGGAACAAAGGAAACAATGAGAAGGGAACTAGTTCATTCATTAGGCATCCCATGTTGTTGGTGGAGATTTCTAAGTAACCGCAGTTGAAATCTAGCTTGATTTGTGTTGATAATAGATTGGGGGTCTCTGAATTTTCCTGAGCTATTTCATTTTGTTTTATGTTGTGTTGTTCGACCTTCAATTGTGTCCAAGAGTTTCTGATCACGACTTTATTTGATTCTGGTGTTGCTTATTGCAGCAATTTTTGCCGGATTCCTATTATTGATTACCATAGGCATTGTGCCAATTGCTCGTACGATCTGTGTCTTAGTTGCTGTAGAGATCTTCAGGAAGCATCTACGCCTTGTATTAATGGAGTTGTGGATAATAAGATTGGTGGAATTCAAGAAATGGAAACCTTGTTGGAGCAACCGAAAATACCAAGAGTCAAACAAAACTTTTCAGACAAGTTTCCTGATTGGAAAGCGAATGGTGATGGCAGCATTCCATGTCCCCCAAAGGATTATGGTGGCTGTGGATATCCATCATTGAATTTAAGCCGCATTTTTAAGATGAATTGGGTTGCAAAACTGGTGAAAAATGTGGAGGAAATGGTGAGTGGATGTAGGGTATACAATGATGGCTTACTGGAGAAAACTGAGTTTAATGATCATAGACACTGCCAATATGCTCATAGGGAGGATGACAGTGATAATTTCTTGTTCTGCCCCACATCTGAAGATATTAAATCAGGCGGAATTGGTGATTTTAGAAAGCATTGGGCCAGAGGTGAACCCATCATTGTTAACCAGGTTTTTGATAGTTCATCGGTTTCGAGCTGGGATCCAATGGCAATATGGAGAGGGATGCAAGAGACTACGGAGGAGAAATTGAAAGATGAGAGCAGAATCGTTAAGGCCATAGACTGTTTTGATTGGTCTGAGGTGGGCCCAAGCTGCTATTTTTTTGTATGGTTGCTTACGGTGTTGTTTTCTTCCTCAAATGTTTCGTCACATTTGTTTGGCAATATATATATATATTATTTTTTTTAATACTTGTTGATTGATTGATATCTTGAATAATAAGTCTAAATAAACGATTGTGGTTTGACATCATGTTAGGTTGATATTGAACTTGGTCAGTTCATAAAAGGATACTATGAGGGACGAATTGATGGAAATGGTCAGCCAGAAATATTGAAGTTGAAGGATTGGCCTTCCCCTAGTGCGTCTGAGGAGTTCTTGTTGTACCAGAGACCTGAATATATTAGTAAATTGCCTTTACTTGAGTATATCCACTCCAAGTGGGGTCTTCTGAATGTTGCAGCAAAACTGCCACATTACTCTTTGCAAAATGACGTAGGGCCTAAGATATTTATTTCCTATGGGACCTATGAGGAACTTGGTAGAGGCAACTGTGTAACCAATCTTCATTTCAACATACGCGACATGGTTAGTTGTTCTCCTTTTCATATTTAGCTCGTTAATTTTTTAGGGTTATTTTGTCTGGTCAAGAAACAACTCATGATAATTTGTTTGATACGTGGTATGAGTTCTGTAGTTGATTTCTTAAGTTACTTTCATAACTCTGAATGCAACTATTAAATACTTAATGGACACTCTCGTTCTTCGAACTGGTCTTATCTTTTTTCTTTTTTATTTAAGGATTTGTCTTATCATATTTGTGTCTGTGTACAGGTCTATCTATTGGTGCATACCTGTGAGGCAAAGCTAAATGGTCAGCAGAGGATAAAGACTGACAATATGCACAATAACAAGGTAACGAAGGAGAAAGATTTGCAAGGAAATCCAAGTGTAGGTCTGGACGAGGGTAGGTTTGGCAGTCACAGTTTGGATTATGAATATGGCACAAGCTTGGATGAAAATAAAGATGAGAGAATGATGGATCAAGAGATTGACAATTCTTCTAGCATTGAAGGGGATGCTTTGAGCTGTGAACTGTCAAACAGAGATGGTGGAGATGTTTCTGTAAAGACTCATCCAGGAGTTTTATGGGATGTTTTTCGCCGTCGGGATGTTCCACAATTGATAGAGTATCTGAGAAGACATCAAACAGAATTTTCGGAGCCCAACAGTGCAAAAAATGATTTTGTAAGCTCTCTTAAATTTTTACAAATACACCTTTTTTTTTGTGCTGGTAATCGTACATCTTTTAGATTATTTGCTTGCATGTTGTGCTTGACGTTCTAAAATATTTTGAATTACAGGTGACAAAGCCTCTTTATGATGAAAGATATTTCCTGAATAGGCATCAGATACGAAAACTGAAGAAAGAATTTGGTGAGGATGACTAAAACTTGTATTTTATTTAGTCTAGCACTCTGTTTTGAGCTAGACTTGACACTGATGCTCTGCTCTGGAACTGCCATTTATAAGATGTTATTTTTCTGTAGTACTTTTTGTTTTTATTTTTGTATTTCGGGTTGAATTACGACAGTGATTATTACTGTTGGTAAGATGGTGGTCTGCAAGAAATGAATCTTCCTAGTAGCAATGTTATACCTCAAAAACTGAATTCTTACCTGGACTTATGCTCAAATGCTCCTTCCATTTTAAGAAAATATTAAGGAATGTGTTAGAAAATGGAAGCTATGGACGAAAATGTTTGTAATTCAACATACACCAATTTAGTTTGTAGGTTGCTTCCAACTCAACTTGATTTTTCGTGGACGGTTTCATGCATGTCTAGTTGCTTCTATTCTGCAACACAATCCAAAATTTCTAGTGTTATTCTGTCTACACCAGTTGTTTCTTCTCCTGATTTAGTTGCTGAATCTTCTTTTATAGATGAGAATAGTATCTTCTTCTCTTGCAGGAATAGAGCCATGGTCCTTTGAACAGCATCCGGGGCAAGCTGTTTTTGTACCAGCTGGATGCCCTTTCCAAGTTAGGAATCTTCAGGTGAGGACATATGAATTTTACAGAGAAATTGATGTTTTTCAATCAAAACTCCCGCAATTTCAAATGAAATAGGAAGATTTAAATTTTTAAATGTACGTTACTGTTTATCCTTGATTGAATGTGAGGATTCCATAGGAACTAGTTACATGGGGGGAAAATGTTATATTCTTGCTCGAGATGCTACTTTGTTTGGTACATATTCCGTGTGTTATTTTCCTGGTAGGAAAAACAGCAAGAACAGATTGCTGACCTCCTGAATGTTGAATTAGAACACGTATTCTTCAGCAGAAAAAGAAAAATATAAAAGAAAACCAGATCCACAGGAATTGGATAAAGAAATCTAAATACTTGATCTTCATTCTTGTTCTTTTTGAAGATATGGGGTATACTAGATCTTCAGCACAAGTTCAGTTTTTGAGATCATCTTTATTATTTATGTCTATGCTACTTCGTTTGGTACATATTCCGTGTGTGTTATTTTCCTGGTAGGAAAAACAGCAAGAATAGATTGCTGACCTCCTGAATGTTGAATTAGAACACGTATTCTTCAGCAGAAAAAAGAAAAATATAAAAGAAAACCAGATCCACAGGAATTGGATAAAGAAATCTAAATACTTGATCTTCATTCTTGTTCTTTTTGAAGATATGGAGTATACTAGATCTTCAGCACAAGTTCAGTTTTTGAGATCATCTTTATTATTTTATAGATATTCCTTGTCTGACAATACTTGTTTTTTTACTCAAATTTTGCTTTGTGCTTCTGTGCAGGCTTGGCTCTGAGGTCGGATTTGAAGATCCAAATTTAACAGCAGCAGTTTCCGAGAACATGGAGAAAATGCCCAAGCGAAGACAGATAACTTGTGCTTGAAGTGCTCTCTTGTATCTATAGTTTATATATCGATGACTGACACCCGGATTGAATATCCAATGTGTAAATTTGTTAGCGTGATCTTCTATTTTTCGTGGACTCAAAAAAGTTACATAGCGATTGACACCTCATCCCATCAATCTAACACTTAGATCATACTTTGAGTTACTTACGAAATGTGAAATGTAAATTAGATGCCAAGAGACTTCTATTTTCGTTTTGCCTACTTGGGAAACCTTTCTGTTTTGGTCTCTCTTTAGGGCATATTACATTGTTTTTTCTTATAAAAATTTAAAAACCTACGAACTAAATGGGCCCTTAGTTTTTACAGAAACCCTGTCTTTCTGGTCTTCTATGCTCGCAACTAAACTTGTACAAAGTAGATAGGAAAGTCATTCGGAAAAGGTCTTGGGAGGAAAATTGCAAAAGTGTAATAGCCTCTGGATGTATATGAAACCGAAGTTGCTCCCTGTCTTCATATCAGGAAGTGAGGCTAAACGATTCAGCAATTCTCTCAAAGTCCAACTTCACTTCCTGCCATACCGATTCGGGTGCCTGAGCATTCAGAGTAAATAATCTCCCACTCCGAGCGCAGCAAACCGCAACATTATGCCTGCGAAATGTGGGGCTGTCAACCCTGAACTCTAGCTCATAGTAATTAACGTTCCTTATTGGATCCTTTCTCATAGTGGACTCTACCAAAGTTCCTTTCACTTCAGGTCGTTTGCTAGATCCTGTAATGGTTCTAACTACAGCTTCTCCCACCTCCTTTGGTCCACCAAATGCTTCAATTCTGTAGCACACCACAAGAGGAATTGGGTGAGGAATTTCAAGTCCTTCAAATAAACCGCGTTTTAATATCTACTGAGAGATCAGAGAAGATAATTCATGCCAAACACAATACGAGAAAGAGAGCTTAAAAAAGAGGTTACTTGAAATCAAGAGGAACAGGTGAGACGATGACGCTAACATTGAGCTCGCCGCTTGTACCAGGAGGCCCAAATGCAACAACAGGTTCATTCACATTATTCCTTCTCCCACCATTACTTTTGGCATTTTTCAATGGAGGAGGATCAAGTGACCTCTCAAACTCTGTTTTCTCCGCTGCTCTGTACAAGAGCCTCTGATCTCCAACCCACCTTGCTGGGTATATAAATTCTGTTGTTTCCGATCCAAAATTAAAATAATTTATATATACTCATCCTATATATACCATTTTCAATTGATAAAGTGTGGCTTAATGTTGTTGGAATTTGACTAAATTGAGACTCTAAACAAAACATTGTCACAAGGACTAATTTTATTTCTAATTTACTAACCAAATCCTTCATTTGTGTCTATGCATCTATTGTAGCCATCAATAGGATAAACGACATCAAGCTTGAGATTCCGGCTAGTTTCGGGGGACAACCCAAGTAGAAAGCTTGTAACTCCTGCAAAATTTGCGCCAACAGCAACCAAAGAGGCTGATCCTAACCCCACTAAGAGTCTCCTCCTAAATGTTGCCGCCAGTGGCGCAAATTGTTCCGCCGCAGGTTGGGACGCCGCCTCTTCGGAGCGCTCTTTCCGGTCGCCGGAAGATTGAGTCATGCGTATTTTGTGAAAGCTTGGGGCTTTGCATGCATGAAAGCAGCGTGCCAATGCCATGGTTCTAGTTCTTAGTGTTTCTTTCTGTTGAGAGCACGCAGGCTAGTTTTACGTTGTTCAAAGGTGTGTTATCCATTCTTTTTTTTTTCTTTTTTTTTTTTTTTTTTTTGCCAAGGCAACTAGTGGTACCTAAGTAAATTGTATTATTATTTAGTCACCAAATATCTTGGTGCACATGTAGTTTGTAAGTACTATTCTTCTTCAGTTTGAGGATGGAATTACGATATGAAATTCGTTATAGCTTACGATGTGTGGGGAGTTGTTGTTTGGCTTTACCATATACTAAAAGAAAAATATTTAGAGGACACTATTAGTGTTAAATACTATTAAAATCGATCTTATTTTTAAACCTTATATTATAGAACCTGACGTACTTTTTATTAATAAATAGAATGGTGTTAAGCACTATTGGTGTTATATAGGTTGTTCTATACTTTTAATCCATTTACAGAATTAAATTTGAAGGATGTAGGAGCATCTGTTTAGTGTTTTCGTTATTCTCTAATTAAAAAGTTATAAAAGGCCAGATTTTTTTTTCTTTTTTTCCTTTTCTTTTTATTTTTATTTTTATTTTTATTTTTATGTTTTGGGTGGGGGCACGGGGCGCAAGAATTCCATTGTGGAATTGTGATATGTCGCTTTTCCATTTGGTTCTTAATGAGAGAGGTGCAGTTCCGAGTTCAGCTCTACAACTTTGGTGATAATGCTTATCCAGTTTTTGTGGTTCACATTTTCTCCGATAGCAATATAATATAATAATATAATA